GCTGAAGTGTACTATTTTCGTGGCAGTATGTTCGCTCACGGGATGGGTGGCACAATACGGTAAACTCATCAAACCGGGGAATATTTCTTCGCGGAGGAAAGTCACTCAAGCATTTTACTAAATTTGACATGTTTGTTACACTTCACTCTTATATGGGGATAAGTTGTACACTATTTGCTGTGGAACGAGGAAACGATTTTTAAAAAATAACTAAATTTAGTTTTCTGTAGGAGGGAGACCATTGCAGAATTCAAATCCTGAGATTTCCTAAACCTGAAACAAAAATCCTGTCCCAACATCTTGGTGATATGTTCTGTAATGCAGCATGAAAGTGGAGTGTATTGTTTAAAGCTGTAGAAGGTTACTTGTTGAGTGGTATATTGGCATGAACAGAAGCCCTGGCAGCATCCGCTCCAAAGTTTCCCACCAGGGACCGAGTGTCCACGGACAGGCAGGAGGACACCAACTTTTCCCTCTTGTGTCCTGCCCAGGCAGACCCACCACCTCACACCAGGTATTTGTTCATTTTTAGTCAGTTACTGCTAAGGGAAGAGAGGGGAGGAGTTGATTACGAGGGAGAGGAAGACACTGGGGTAGGGAAGAGATTGCTTGGTAGTATGCCCATCACGGTGAGCTGTTATTTTTTTGTTCATTACAGAGTAGGCATTCGAGCATTCATTAGCAGATAAACAGAAAATTTTGAAAACTATTTATACAGGTAAAAAGTAATGCTATGGAAGATAAGAGCTAGGAGAGACCAACCCACACTGCAGAGGAAGGATAAGTAAAGGAGGTTTCCTGGGATTAGCTCTCCGGTGGCCCAATCTCAGACCAGGCCTGGTTTATCAAGGCCTGATCAATCAGGCTGTTACAAACCACAGCCTGGCTGGTCAGCAAATGATTTGAACAACTTACGAAGTTCTCTTGAAAACAGCCGAAGATTGGTTGATAATTCATTTAATGCACAGAGGGAGGATGTTGAAAAGTCAGGGACGTGTGACACTCGTTGAATTGTCCCTGTGTAGTTGTCGTCCCTGTGTAGTTGTCGCGCCCCTGCTTTCTACAGGAGACATTGTGCACTGTCTGCCAAGTCTCATCATATAGTGATTTCAGTGCTTAGATTTGGGACCAGTCCTTCCAGCTGTGTGAATTATGATGTACTTTTCTTGCCTAGGCTGCAAGAATATAGTTGAAGGAACTTCGAGGATTCCCAGCAGTTCAGATGATTGAATTTATTTGGCAATGAAAGTTCTTTGCACGTTTTCCAGCTCGGCAATCTTCGACACGGAGAGAACAAGTGACTTGAGTATCATCATTGGTTAAATATCTCTTATCTTGAAAACTTTAATTATCCAGCCTATCATTTTCCTTGTGGTAGCAATAGCAACATTGTTTTGATCATTGAGTGTGATGTATGACATCATTACTCCCAAGTCTTGCATATGGAACCTTTTCTCTGTTGAAATGTTTGAGTTTGTCCTGTATTCCATTAGTCTTTATTTCCTCCACTCTTCCATAGTGGACCAACTGAAACTTATCTTGGTTAACCATATTGATGTCCGAGGCCCACCGGAAGACTTGATTTACATCCCCTTGAAGACTTGCTGTTAGTGTTATCAGCAAAGAATATTGTGGTGCTGAGATTTATGTCCGTGTTGATTTTGGATATAAGAATAAGACGCAGTGTTGTGAGTACTGTGCCATGAGGAACAGTTTTTTTCACTGTGGCAGCCTCCGATTTCACTGTTCACTACTTTTTAAGTTCTGTTTCTTAAAAAGTCAGATATCCTTTTGGCCTCTTTTCCAGTTATTCCTTTTGCATGCATTTTGCGCTCTATCACAGTGTGGTTGCACTTGTCAAACACATTTACAAAATTAGCGTACACTACATTAGCATTTAGCTTGTCTTCCAGTCCATCCAGGACCATGTCATAGTGATCTAGCAGTTGTGAAAGGGAGGAGTGGCATACCCTAAACTTATGCTGCCCTGGATTGTGCAGTTATTGAGATTCCATGTGATTGGCTGCCCTGGATTGTGCAATTATTGCGATTCCATGTGATTGGCTGCCCTGGATTGTGCAGTTATTGCGATTCCATGTGATTGGCAGTTTTGCTGCTTAGGAACTACTAAGATTTGAAGTGCGAAGTTAGTGTCATTGTCGTATAGTTTTTCGCAATTGCTTTACTGCCGTATTTGTGAAGTGGGCAGTATCAGTGGTTTTTAATGACCCTGGGATGACATCTGTGTTCAGAGTTCACAAAATTACTAAAGACACCAGATATTGGTTCCTTGGAAGAAGTGAAGAAATGAGAAACCCAGACACCACAAGAGCTGAGGGACCTGACAACTTATTCTCACTATTATTTAAGGGAAGGAGATGTACCAGTATCTAAATCCACAGTGAAAATATTCAATAAGTCACAGGAGATGGGACAACTATTATCTAATTGGAAGATGGCTAATGTAATCTCCATACATAGAGGAGCAAAGAAAGAAGGTTCTAAAATATAAACCGACGTTACCAACATTCATTCTGCCCAAAGTATTTGACAAGAATGTCAAATAGATAATATACTAAATCCTGTTAGATGAACCTCCTGGAGTTCTGTAACAGTTTATGTAAAAAAGTCAGATATTTTCAACGCCCTAAAAAACACTTAATGTGAAGTACCTTTTTTCTTTATCAGAAATACAAAATTGTTAAAAATATATAGATCAATATTATCAGCTGTTGCTAAAAAATCATCAGATATTGTTATAAATTATATGACTTTTACAGTCTTACTTTGCTTACTCTTAATAAGTTTAACAATTAATCAAATTTTCATTCGGGTAAAATAGTTTTAAATGTAAGAACTAATGCTCTAAATTTTGGGAAATGAAAACGAAGTTTAAGTATTTATTGCTTGGTAACTTTTTGATGTACCTTTGATGTAATAATTATCTGGATATTTCTGTAAGACTCTACTCTTCTTTATAAGTTCTTTGAACACCCTGTATTTATTAGTCAGTTTGAACACCCTGTATTTATTAGTCAGTTTGAACACCCTGTATTTATTAGTCAGTTTGAACACCCTGTATTTATTAGTCAGTTTGAACACCCTGTATTTATTAGTCAGTTTGTCACCAATCTGTAAAAGTGAAAAATTTTGGCAATTTTAAGGGAAACTAATGGTGTCAGCTTTGCTTATGAATATCATTTCTAGAACCGCCTGAGTGTGTAACATAAGTCACGACGGCACTTCGTGAACCGCACAGCGGCACTTGTGTATCAGTCACAGACGCCACTTCGTGTATAGTCACAGACGCATTCGTGTCCGTCACAAGACGGCCACTTCGTGTAACGCACATTGGCACTTCGTGTCATCACAGAAGGCCACTTCATGTACCGTCAGACGGCCACTTAGTGATAAGTCACTAGACGGCCACCTTACGTGTACGTCACAGACGCCACTTGTGTACCGTCACAGACGGCCACTTCGTGTACAGTCACAGACGGCCACTTCGTGTACAGTCACAGACGGCCACTTCGTGTACAGTCACAGACGGCCACTTCGTGTACACCAGACGCCACTCGTGTACGTCAATCCTGCGGCACTTCGTGTACAGTCACAGACGCACTCGTATGAAAGTCACAGACGTGCACTTCGTGTCCACGTCACAGACGGCAATTCGTGTTACCGTACAGACGCTTGGTACAGTAACAGAGGGGAACTCGTGTAAGTCAAAGCCACTCGATGTACAGTCACGAAGGCAACTCCATGTACAGTCACAGATGCATGCACTTCTTCCCGTCACAACGCCATTACGTGTACAGCTCCAGACGCGCCACTTCGAGGTGTACAGTCACAGACGGCCACTAAGTGTACCTCACAGACGCCATCGTAACCGTCCAGACGGCCACTTCGTGTAAATCAAGAAGCATTCGTGTACGTTCAACGCATTCGTTGCTGAACAAGACGCCACTCGTGTACGTCAGACGCACTTCGTGTACCGCAAGAAGGCCATTCGTGATTCAACGTCAACGACGCTACTCTGTACAAGTCACAGAGGCCACTTGGTCAGTCACACCCCTTCGTGTACTCACAGACGGACCACTTGTGACGCACAGACGGCCTTCGTGTACAGTCACAGAGGCCACTTGTATAAGTCACAATCGCCACTGTTACAGTCAGCATGACGGCCACTTCGTGTACCGTCAAACGGCACTTCGTGGTACAGTACAGACGGCCACTTCGTGTACAGTCACAGACGGCACTTCGGTACAGTACACAGACTGCCAGCCCTGTACAGTCACAGAAGGCCACTTCGTGTACAGTCACAGACGGCCACTTCGTGTACAGTCACAGACGGCCACTTCGTGTACAGTCACAGACGGCCACTTCGTGTACAGTCACAGAAGGCCACTTCGTGTACAGTCACAGACGGCCACTTCGTGTACAGTCACAGACGGCCACTTCGTGTACAGTCACAGACGGCTACTTCGTGTACAGTCACAGACGGCCACTTCGTGTACAGTCACAGACGGCCACTTCGTGTACAGTCACAGACGGCCACTTCGTGTACAGTCACAGACGGCCACTTCGTGTACACCTAGGCGTCCCACTATGTCATAATCCTGTGTGTAATTTTAATATAAGATTACTGAAAATATTGTTATGCATAATATTTTCCACGGACAGGGACAAACTTTTTGAAGTGGGAGTAATAAGAACAAGATGGGGAATGTAAAAAAAACTGGATGTAGAGTTGGTGAAGGCAACTCCATACACAGTTTTACGCACTCCTTCCCCGCCCCAACGCTGGATTACTTGAGCTCTCAGGGACCTCCTCTCTTGGAGGGTTGTCACACTTCCCACAAGGTACTCTCATGACCACTAACCCAGCGTCTTTCCGTGTAAATTAAGGGAATATTTTCCTTTCGTTTAAATTTGCTGACAATAATAGCCAGTTACGGAACGACTTGTGGAATGCAAGAAATGGATTTCAAGTAACCGTAGTATTATACGAAGGGAGAGAAGGTTAGCGTTCCCCTTGATAAGGACGGACAACACGTTATGACACGGTCTGGGCAGGCAGCAATGTTTGAGAAGTGTAATTGCCACTGTTTGCTCTTGAGCATGCGGCACTCACCTCAAGGCATTTGGGATAATTTAATTACAAATTTTGTAGTAATCAGTGTGAAGAAGGGGGAAAAGTAGGTGAAGAAAAAATCTTGAAAATTCCAGGCCATTGGGAGTGCTTTCAGTGGCTATTTGTAGACAGGGTGATGTGAAGGAGCATAGAGCTAATGCAGGAGATTGTAAGTGTTACGTGGTCTTCGGATTGTCTCGTCAAGGTATATTGTTCAGGTGTCGTGATGAATTTCCAGGTTGTTTGTCGTAAGAGTTTTCTCAAGAGAGGTGGGAGATAAATATTAATAAACCTGCACTATATCTTATTAAGAGAACCCTACTTTAAAGAACACCGACGGTGATAATTCCAGAAGCGAAGAACTGGTTGCAGACTGGAAGAGACTCGAGTGCGGGAGGTACCTAATTTGTTAGTCGAATGTTGTGGATTGCATCTTGGTGATGGGTCAAATACTGATAACGGTAAAATAATTAAGAATAGATGATCTCTATCACAGACTTCTGCTTTTTGTGTTTGTTCCTATCACCGCCCCTCTAATCACTACATCGGTGGCTGCTCCTCCGTCAGACCCTGTTGGCTTCTCGGCACCTAAGTTCCGGTGGGAGGAGCGGGTCAACACACTACTGACTGTGGTGAAGCCGCGAGCCACCAGCGTCTCCGTCTTCTGCGAGGCTCAGGGATTCCCAGTGCCTTCCGTGCGGTGAGACCCTCAGTGTAATCAAAGTTATAGTCAGGTTAGGAGGGAGAGAAAGAGGAAGATAAATGAAGGAAACGTTAAGCACTGCGAGTGGAGAGTGACAAGGCAACCCCCCCCCCCCTTCCTTCCAGTGGAGAGTGACCAGAGGCCCCCCTCCCTTCCTTCCAGTGGAGAGTGACAAGGGGCCCCCCCTTCCCATCAGTGGAGAGTGACAAGGGGCCCCCCCTTCCTATCAGTGGAGAGTGACAAGGGGCCCCCCTTCCTATCAGTGGAGAGTGACAAGGGGCCCCCCTTCCTTCCGGTGGAGAGTGACAAAGGGTCGTCCCCCTTCCATGCCGTGGAGAGAGCCTAGGGGTCCCCTCCCCTTCCCTCCCGCACCAAAAATTGTCAAAGGAGAAAGTTTTAAGATAATAACATTTTATCTCTCCGCACACGAAAAATGTGTGTTTGGTAAAACATCCCTTCAAAGCAGATGCTTTGATGCTAGTGACCTCTTGATCCAAGGAATTAGAGCAATCTTCCTCCAATTCCACAGCCATTGTAAGACCTTCACAGGTTTAGCTCTTCCTCATGGCATTTATTAAGAATGCCTTGGGAACTTTACCATTTCTTGAGATGAGGTTAAGCATCTTCAAAGACCCAACTATGATGTACGCAGCCAGTGGAGTGCGAGTCATACACCTTCCGTCATGCCGCTTCAGGGAATGCAACAGATTTTATATATATATATATATATATATATATATATATATATATATATATATATATATATATATATATATATATATATATATATATATATATATATATATATATATATTATATATATATATATATAGTACACACATGCACTTACATATAGAACAACCAATCTGAAAAGAAAGCGAACTTCCAAGTACTTTCATGATTTCTTACATTATCAAGGAACTATAAAAATAAAGATTAGCAGAAAGCATATAAGGGCGAGATTACACTTCACGGTCAACATAACAACACCCGAACCTTTTATGATGATTTGAGTGAGGCGGTCAAGGACCTGTCACATAGTTTATATTCTACCCACGTAAGTTTGCACGATTAGCCCAGGTGAATGCGAGTTATAAAGCTAGTTTCCCGTTCATGTCATACGGCACTCTATAATTATTTAATATATATATGTATATATATATATATATATTATATGGTGGGGGTTCACACATTGGTGTGTGGGTGGGATTCACTTAGTGTGGGCGGTGTTTACATTAGTGTGAGGGTGTGGGTGAGGTTTACACACTAGTGTAAATGTATGTTGGCGGGGTTCACACTAGTGTAAGGGTGTGTGAACAGAGTTCACACCACAATATATCAGGGTGAATGAGTGTTCAGAGGTTCTGGTCACCACTGTAAGTTTTGGCGTATGATACATGCCAAACACGCACACTCCTGGTTGTGGCACTGTGGCACAATCATAACACCTTTAGAATAACACGTGATTACGTGTTAATATTAGTGTTATGTATCCAGAGCCGGTGGGCATCTCTGGGCCCAAGCTGCCCTCCAGTGACAAACTTCACTCAGAGATGAAGGCTCGTGCCACCAACCTGTCCCTGACCTGCCCAGCCCAGGCTCACCCACCGCCACAGTTCAGGTAGGTGCAATAATCGCACTGTTTCAAGAAGCTGTACTAGTGACATGACTCACCGGTTTCTAGAGTTCTCATCCCGTAGCCTGGCCCTGGGTCACTCTTCTTTAATCATAACAGATCACCCAGACTGTTGCAACTTGCAACAAACAAGAATCACGCACCCAGCAGAGCTAGGTGGGTTAAAGCATCGTGAATTTTTGCTCACCATGAGGCGGGCTAAAACAACATGGGTTCGAATCCTCGGCTAGTCGCAGTATTGTGTTATATATATATATATATATATAATTTATTTGATTTTAGCACGTCGGCCGATCCCCACCAAGGCAGGGTGACCTAAAAAGATAGAAAAAAAATTCATCACTTTCACCATCACTCATACATAATCACTGCCTTTGCAGACGCACTCAGATACGACAGCTTAAACGTTCCTCCAAACTGCCAATATCTCAACCCCCTTCTTTAAAATGCAGGCATTTTACTTCCCATTTCCAGGACTCAAATCTGGCTAACCGGTTTTTCTGAATTCCTTCACACTCCAACAGCTCGTCAGGTCCCAAAAACCATTTGTCTCCATTCACTCCTATCTAACACGCTTACGTGCACTTGCTGGAAGTCCAAGCCCCTCGCCCACTGAACCTCCTTTACCCCCTCCCTCCAACCTCCCTCCCTCCCTCCAACCCTTCTACGGATTTATACGCTCTCCATGTCATTTTACTTTAAGTCATTCTCCCTAAATGACCAAACCACCTCAACAACCTCTCGTGAACCCTCTGACTAATACTTTTAGTAACTCCACACCTGCTAATTTCCACACTACGAATTCTCTGCGTAATATTTACACAACACATTGCCCTTAGACACGAAATATCCACTGCCTCCAGCTGCTTCCTCTCTGCAGTATTTACAGCTCATACTTCACATCCATATAAGAATGTTGGTACCACTATACTCTCTTACATCCCCTTCTTTGCCGCCATTGATAACGTTTTCTTGTCTCCACAGATACCTCAATGCACCACTCACCTTTTTTTCTTATCAGTTCTATCGTTAACCTCATCCTTCATAAACCCATCCACTGACAAGTTAACTCAGAAATATCTGAAAACATTCACTTCTTCCAAACTGCCTCCCTCCAGTGTGATACCCAATTTATCCAGTGTGATACCCACTGGGCCATGCTGGCCCAGTGGCTAACACGTCGGTCTGGAGTTTTGAGACTCTTTGATCGCGGGTTCTAACCCCACCCGTGGTATGGTTTCATACATTTATTGAGCAAAAGTAACAACCACTCCAAAACTATATCCCCACCCGCTTTTAACATTTCTTTCATGAGTCCATCTGTTCCAGTTGCTTTACCCCCTTTCATTCTATCCAATGCCTGACGCACTTCCCCACACTCACATCCGTCTCTTTTTCACTTCTAAAAGATGTTATACCTCCCTGGCCAATGCATGAAATCACTGCCTCCCTCTCTTCATCAACATTTAACAGTTCCTCAAAATATTCCCGCCACCTTCCCAATACCTCCCACTTCCCATCTACAACCCTATTCTGCTTTTAACTCTTAAGTCCATTTGTTCCCTAGGCTTTCTTGACCTCTTTATCTCAACTTATTCTTAGCAAAATTTGTTGAAAGCACCTCAATCACTCTATCATTTGCTCTTCTTTTGCACTCCCTCACCACACTCTTAACCTCTCTTTTACTCTTCATATACTCATCCCTTCTTATATCACATCTGCTTTGTAAAAACTTCTCATAAGCAGACTTTCTGTCCCTTATCACGCCCTTTACCTCATCATTCCACCAATCACTCCTCCTTCCTCCCGCACTCACCCTCCTATAGCCACAGACATCTGCCCTGCATTCTACCAATGATTTTTTAAAACTATCGCGCCCTCTTTCAACCCCCGCATTACCTATACTCTCGCTAGCCCACGTTTCTGCCAATAGTTGCTATATCATATCTTGTATTTTTATATCATATCTTGTATACTTATCCTCTTTTTCTTATAATATTCATTACTTATTACGAAACCTCTTTCTGTACATAGTTAAATTAAAGGAATCCCCCCCCCCATTACCATTTACCCCTGGCACTCCAAATTTACCTACCACTCCCTCTATCACCATTTCTTCCACTTGAGTATTCATGTCCCCTACAACAATTAATCTCTCGCTTGGCTCAAAACTCCCTAAGCGCTCGCTCGACATCTCTCAAAATCTCTCTCTCTCCTCTGCACTCCTTTCTTCTCCAGATGCATAAGCACTATAACCCACTTTTCACATATGATCCTTATATTACTCCACATAATCCTTGAATTTATGCAATTGTATTCCGTCTTATCTGCCATAACATCCTTCAACATTTTTGCTACTCCCTCCATTGCTCTAACTCTATTAGAAACCCCTGACCTAATCCCATTTATTTCTCCCCACTGAAACTCGTCTATCCCTGTCAGCTTCGTTTCACTTAGAGTCAGGACATCCACACACATTCAAACATCCCAACTTAAAGGTTTTCTTTTTTTTTTTTATTTTTAGTAAGCTGTATGGGAGAGAGAGATGTATCTCGGAGAGAGAGAGAGATGTATCTCGGAGAGAGAGGGAGAGAGATGTATCTCGGAGAGAGAGAGAGAGAGATGTATCTCGGAGAGAGAGAGAGAGAGATGTATCTCGGAGAGAGAGAGAGATGTATCTCGGAGAGAGAGAGAGAGAGATGTATCTCAGTGCACCACGCAGAAACAAGTGGGTATACACAGAGAAAGATCACAATTAGGAGGATTCGATCCCAGGCTCCCAAAGTGACAGTCTACAGCACTCGGCGACAAATGCCTCATAAACTGGTTTACAAGTCGTGCTTCTTTCCCATCCCGGGCACATCAGTGAGCCTCAAGAATGGTTTCAAGCTATTTCAGTCTCCTGTATGTTCTGACCTCACAAGCGACTTTTATATCCATACACCACTCAGAAACAGGTGGAGATTAAAATAGCTTGAAACCATGCTTGAGGATATATATGTACATATATATATATTATTATATGTTCTCGGATGACAGGTACAACAACTAGCTTGGCTGGGTGCGTCATTCTTGAGGATTGTGTGGACTAGAGGATCATGCGTCTTTTGCTCACCATGAGGCAGGCCAAAGCAGCATGGGTTTGACTCCTTGGCTAGTTGCAGTGTTATTGATCAATACCACTCGTTCATGGGTACAATATAAAATACTCCTCGTTGGGCTAGTACACCAAACAGGGAGTAGAATGAAATTAGCTCATAGGCATCCACACCACGGTATGTCCTCAGATGACGGGTGCAACACCTAGCTTGGCTGGGTGCGTCATTCTTGAGAATTGCATGGTCCCGTGGACTAAAGCATCATGTGTCTTTCATTCACCATGAGGCGGGCCAAAGCAGCACGAGTTCGACTCCTTGGCTAGTCGCAGTGTTGTTGATATGTGTATATAACACTATAACCCACTTGTCACGTCCAACACTTATTTTACACCACATAATCCATGAATTTATGCATTTATGTTCCCTCTCTTCCTGCCATAACTTATCCTTCAACGTTATATATATATATTGAAGGATAAGTCATGGCAGGAAAAGAGGGAGTATAAATGCATAAATTCATGGACTGTGGTGTAAAATAAGTGTTATATGTGAAAAGTGGGTTATAGTGTTTAGGCGCCTGCGGAAGAGAGAAGTGTAGAGGAGAGAGATTTTAGGAAATGTTGAGCGAGTGAGAGAGTACTTGTGGTTGGGGATCTCAGTGCTAAAGTGGGTAAAAATGTAGAGGGAGTAGTAGGTAAATTTGGGGTGCCATGGGTAAATGCAAATGAGCCTTTAATTGAGCTATGTGTAGAAAGAGGTTTAGTAATTAATACATATTTTATGATAAAAGGATAAATAAGTAAACAAGGTATGATATAGCACGTAATGAAAGTTAGATTATGTATTGGTGGATAATAGGTTGATGAGTAAGCTTCAGGATGTACATGTTTATAGAGGGGCAGCAGATATATCGGATCATTATTTAGTTATAGCTACTGTTAGAGTAAGAGGTAGATGGGACAAAAGGAAATTGGCAACAGCAAGTAAGAGAGAGGTGAAAGTGTATAAACTGAGGGAAGAAGAAGTTAGGGGGAGATATAAGCAACTATTGGCAGAAAGGTGGGCTAGTGCAAGTATGACTAGTGGAGGGGTTGAAGAAGGTTGGGATAGTTTTAAAAATGCAATATTAGAATGTGGGGCAGAAGTTTGTGGTTATAGGAGGGTGGGTGCAGGAGGAAAGAGGAGTGATTGGTGGAATGATGAAGTAAAGGGTGTGATAAAAGAGAAAAAGGTAGCTTGTGAGAGATTTTTACAAAGCAGAAGTGTTATAAGAAGAGCAGAGTATATGGAGAGTAAAAGAAAGGTGAAGAGTGGTGAGAGAGTGCAAAGGAAGAGCAGATGATAGAGTTTACCTGGAGTTTACCTGGAGAGAGTTCCGGGGGTCAACGCCCCCGCGGCCCGGTCTGTGACCAGGCCTCCTGGTGGATCAGAGCCTGATCAACCAGGCTGTTGCTGCTGGCTGCACGCAAACCAACGTACGAGCCACAGCCCGGCTGATCAGGAACTGACTTTAGGTGCTTGTCCAGTGCCAGCTTGAAGACTGCCAGGGGTCTGTTGGTAATCCCCCTTATGTGTGCTGGGAGGCAGTTGAACAGTCTCGGGCCCCTGACACTTATTGTATGGTCTCTTAACGTGCTAGTGACACCCCTGCTTTTCATTGGGGGGATGGTGCATCGTCTGCCAAGTCTTTTGCTTTCGTAGTGAGTGATTTTCGTGTGCAAGTTCGGTACTAGTCCCTCTAGGATTTTCCAGGTGTATATAATCATGTATCTCTCCCTCCTGCGTTCCAGGGAATACAGGTTTAGGAACCTCAGGCGCTCCCAATAAATTAATTGGGAGTGAGATAAACACGTTAAGAAAGCCTAGAGAATGACTGAATTTGTCATTTAAAAACAGAGTATGGGAGTTAATTAATGGGGAACTGGAGGTATTGGGTAGATGGA